AAGCCAGTTTCACAAATTTCATAATTTATTTATTTACTTATCATTAATTGCTGTTTGGTTTGTGGGATTTAGATAATTGTGTGCGCACTTGATGAGATGTTTTTCTTACAACATGTTTAATTTGATGACTTTTTGGTAATATTTTTTGTCTTTAATTTATTTATCGATTTTGTATTTTTTTGTATTGATAAATCGATAGGTTGTTTATATTTATTTTTATTTATTCAGTGATGTATGAAGGTGTTATTAAGGCCGCACTTGACACTTTCTCAAATATCTGGCTCACTCTGAAAAACATGCAAAAGCATTGTCTCTTTCTGTCATTGTTTTTAGTCTTTTCAAAAGACATTTATTATAGCGATTCTACACGATTTATCGTTTTAGAGTTTCGGCTTGCATAATGTAGTGTTCGACAAGTCAATCCATTATTTATAAATTATCACTGCGACCATTGCCATCACAGCGAGTAGGGATACTTGTTCTGCTCTTTAGGGAATTTATATGGAGGGGCAAAAGCTACCATGAAATTGACACAATTCAATCGAATTCGACTTAATTAATTCGATTGTGAACTGCAAAAATCTTACGAGTTTGTTTACCAAGGTCACGAGTCTAATTGATTGCTTTGTATCCAAATGATATCATTTGCCTCTCCATGCAAGAAAATCTGGCTGGCCCCGACTTAATTCAACTGAATTCGATCGGCAGTGTGCCCAGGAGGTTTGTTTTAACGTTTGACTAAGTATATTATTATTGGCAGATTCGCTTTTACGGTTTGCTCTGGCAGCTTGGTGCCAGCTATTTGGCCCGCGGATCGAATCTTTAACAATAATAGTATTTGCAGACCGTCCACATGATTCCGAGCAAACAGAGTTGGTGGTTAATTGTCTGCTTTGTCCTCACTCTTCATGATCATTTAAATGTCGGGCACCAGCGACTGTGGTATAGCTACATGTATTTAGTGCTTTTCTGTCTAATGCAGGAGACTCAAGTTCGATTCCCGAGTGGGAAGAAATTTTTATTGAGTATCTAGTCTTTCGACAGGGATGTTGTATCCCTTTCAGTCCAGGTTGGCACTGACAGGCGTGATCGAAAGCCTGCCGGTCCTAAATTATCCGACTTGTGTCGATGGGAGCGTAAAATACCTATACATAAAAAAGGGCTGGCTGCTTTGACCTCACCTGTCGGTCGGGGGATGAGTGGGGGGATCAGAGCCACGCACTTTCGAAAACAAAAGAAAGAAAATGATACTAAAGCCGCACACTGTAAGAGCCAGGCGCTTTTTCACGATATCGATACAATTTGATTACGGATACGACCCAGCGGTTAGATAACCCTTTACAAAAATAATCTAGTAATTCGTACCATTTCAATAAAATCAAGGCTAGTGCCACTCAATTAAAATAAGAGAAGCCTACCGCACCAACGTAACAACATTGTTTTGTCTATAAAATCCTTCAAAGTCACTCATGTTGATTTTTGCCTCTCCCTGGAGCAAAATCCTGGCCGGCCCTGGCTGTATTTGATCAAATAAACCAAATGTATCAATTGTATCAAATGAAGCAAATGTATCAAATGAACCAAACGTGCCAAATAAACCAAATGTATCTAATAAAGCAGATGTATCAAATGAGCCAAGAGTTTCAAATTAATATGCAGTTAGTTTAAGGGTGCACAACAGAGGGTGCGCCAAAAAAAGCAGCCATTACTCGGATGAATGGTAAATTGTAACAATTAACCTCCGAGATGGAATAAATCATTGGACGGTAATCAATAATCGAGTATTACCGATATCATTTACAAGTGCTCCGCTCTGATATTGCGCTGCTTTGATTTGTTCTTTATGTTTTGGAAGTGTGCGGCTCCTTTCCTCTTGGGAAGACCAGGGCTGAGAAAAACATAATTTCCTGATGGAAGAACAGAGAGAATTAATACAATGCTACCCAGCTACACCCAGCAATGCAGCAATCGAACTCGCGACATTTGTTAGACAAAAAGCTAAAACAACACCACATAAGCCGAAAAGTGTGTGTGTGTGTGTGTGTGTGTGTGTGTGTGTGTGTGTATGTGTGTATTTAATTGAAAGAGAGCAGGGGAGAGAGAGAGAAAGAGAACGTGGGAGAGACAGAATGAGAGAGTGTGTG